CATATGGAAGGAATGGATTATTTTAGGCATTTGTAGAATCTAACAACCCTGCAAGCTTATGATAACTGTAAAACTAATTAATCCAACGTACCTGCAAAACAGTAATAGTTCATAAAAGCAGAAGAAAGCACCAAAATCCATCCTTCCTTCCATATGTAAATAGAAAATGAAACAAACAAGGCCACGACCGCTAGCAGCACATGATATTTTATTGTCTAGGCTTAAGTTCGAATTCCCTCACTATCCTCCAGAAATATATGTATAATGACATCATCTAGAGAGATGTATATTTTATCAAAAAACCCAAACTACACTCAACCCGAACTGTTCATACCCTAGTTTATATATTCACCGGACTTAATACGAAACATAAATCGAAAACATAGCGGAATGTACAGTACCTTCTTGAACTACCGTTAATTAATCTGAAAATTTTCTGCAATTCAAGAAGATGTTGGAGAGTGTTAACATCAAAAAATGTTAGAGTTATTGTTAGTATTAAAACATGTCTTTTTCCTCAACAATCTAAAGTCCTATCCGCAGTGTAATTCAAAATATTTCTAGGTTAAATTATTGAAAACTTTAGGATCGATCGATAACAATTAAGAAAAGATATTGTCTACTGTAGTTAACTGTGTAATAAATGAAATGATAACGCATGGGACCCTAAATGTCCGAAGAATTCTGATAAAGATGGATACTTAGAAGTGTTGAAGAAAAGAAAAAATAAATGAGAGTAAAAACAAATATTAAGCTGAATATTAACTACTCCGATAAAAACAACACTAAGTAACATTAACATAGACTTTCATCTAATACATGGAAAACAACACGTATAGTCTGAGAATGGATTTGTATTCCTGTAACCACAATTTTAGATCTTCTTCATCAGAGCTTTTGCCATCATTGCACCCATCTGCGCTGGTGATGCCGAGACCTAAATATTCCAAATGCAACAGTCCTTATTTGCAAAATGTCAGTACAAAAAAATCAAGTTACGTCTGAGATATATCAATCAATCTCCATATGTTGTTACAAATAAGCACATTGATTCCTAACCAATCAACAGTTTAACTTGTATTTATTCATTCGTTAAGCCATCAGTAGGTAAAGATTAGTTCCCACTATATCACGCTATAGAAAAATTCTAAAAAACTTGAGGAAAAAAAAAAAAAAAAAACTGATTGCAGTTTTAAAAGCACCCTGTCCGTTGTATGTTGATTTTGGACAATCACAGTTGCCATACGTGAATAATATTTAATAAAAGATGTCTTGATATAACTTCAGAAACTTTTTAAATGACTTACGAGGACACCAACACTTTTCAAAGCTTCAATTTTATCAGCGGCAGTTCCTTTACCACCCGCAATAATCGCACCGGCATGTCCCATTCTCCGACCTGGCGGTGCAGTCTGCCCGGCAATGAATGATACTACTGGCTTAGCATTTGATCCCTAAATAAATTAAGCCATCGTAGTGAAATCTTTCCAGCAGAAACTATAAATTCATCTCACCATACTTTCATATCCAATATATTAACAAAAAGAAATACCGAATTATTTTCCTTTAAAAACTCTGCAGCTTTTTTTCTCTTTGTCCACCAATCTCGCCAATTAAAATAATACCTGCAAAAATAGTAGTGTTTTCTTTTGCTTTAATTCATGAAATGGAAAAAGAAGGCTTAGAAATCCAAATATAAAAACCTAACCCTTAGTTTGGGGATCTCTCAAGAAAATATCAAGACAATCAATGAAATTTGTGCCATTGAATGGATCACCGCCAATGCCAACACATAATGTTTGTCCAAGACCACAAACCGTCGTCTGGTGAACTGCCTCATATGTAAGAGTTCCAGATCGTGAAACGACGCCAATAGTTCCTTTTCGATGTATATGTCCCGGCATAATACCTATTTTGCATTCTTCCGGCTAAAAGTTTGGGCAAAAAATTAAATCAACAGAAGAAAAGAACACTTGTAAATAATTTTTAGTGAAAACTACAATAATTTAAAAGGAAAAATTTAGCACGGGTGTCTGATTTACAAATATACATAAAATGCTTCATTTAGCTTCTAGTGACTTAATATTCAATAAAAATTGGAGCATACACAAATTATCCCTGGGCAGTTTGGACCAAGCAAACGAGTCTTGTTCTGTTTCATTAGTCTATTTCGAACTTTAACCATATCTTGTTGTGGAACACCTTCCGTAACACAAACAACCAGTGGAATTTCCGCATCTACTGCTTCGTCGATCGCTTTAGCTGCAAAGCGTGCCGGTACATAAATAACTGATGCATCTGCACCTGTTGCTTCACGAGCCTGAAATTTTGTGACACATTCTTACAGGGAAAATATATCGATATACAATAAGACAACAAATCAATACATCGAATTTAACCTATTTGATCATCTACCATAGTAACCTTCCAATGTAGCTTACATCACTTATTTCAAATTTCAGAAGCGATAGAATATCAGCTCAATATATATTGTCTGAAAGCAAAGTCAATAAAAGTCAGCCTGTTCACTAATAAAACTGATAAAAATCCATAAAATGCAATATTTAAACTAACTTCTTTAACAGTACCAAAAACAGGTCTTTCAAGATGCACTGTACCGGCTTTGTTTGGAGAAACACCTCCAACAACATTAGTATTATAATCGATCATTTGCTGGCCATGAAAAGTTGCCTAAAATAAAGCAGTGAACTTCCGCTAAATCTAATTTCTCTGATTATCTAAATCTTGTCTTCAAAAAACATCAAGAACCATCAAAACAGGCAGTCTTCCAGCTGAGACGTGGTACATGATAATGGGATTACGCGTAGGATATGATGATACAAATGCACGGTTTGCTAGAAATGCAAAATTTTGAAGTTAAGAAATCTTGCATCTGATCTATCCATTGTGTACCAGATATCAGTGCATTGCAAGCAAAATAAGCAAATAAATACAAATTTTCATTCTTACTTGTTTCCCAGTAAACCCTTGAATTATCACTTTCGTATCTTTATTAATCCGTAATGCACTTCGAGTACTCGTATAATGTCGTAGCAATCCTAAAGCATCAAATATTAAATATTACAAGTTAATAATAACCAAATCACGACTCTCCGTCCTTCCTCCTATTCCAAGTAATTGAAATAGATTTAACCAACCTATACCAACTGCATGAGTTTGCCAGCCAAGCTTGACTGTTCGTAATGAAGACATTGCAAAAATTCTGCCCTGAAACATGTCATACAAAATTATGAGAAAATATTTCAGAAATAATAACAACCAAAAATCATCGTCATGAGATAATTACAAATTATAAACAAGAAAATGAATTACTGGGGTTGAATACAAATATAAATAGTAAGAAGAGAGAGAGGAGAGAGCTAGAATGATAAACAGTCCGAGATCTATGAGAAATACATGATAAGTGGAAAAATGTATCCCTTTACAATGTCTTGCCGAAACTTGGTAAGGTAGTTGTAGGAATTTCTTTAGCGTTTTAGGATTTCCGGACGGAATAGTTCGAAACCGACAAATTGCAGTGACTGAAACGAAACGGATGAAAAAAAAGAAAGAAAAACCACATTCATCAAATTAACAACACATATGCCCCTTAATAAACAAGATTGCATCACGACAAAAGGACTCATTTAACCGATCACCTCTTCAGCATATCGGTGGTATCAGTCATTTGAGTTATATCAGGCTGGATTCCGGTTAGATAGACGATGCTGGATGTAAGCGGATAGTCCTGATGATAAACATACATCACTGGGTACCAAGGAAATGATAATTGAGTTTGAAATATTACTAAAGCTTTAGAAATATAATCTGTTTAACGATGTTGTGACTATCTCCTGCTACTTTCCCGAGATGGTTGAATGGTATAACTTTTTCGGTCAAAAATTTATTCCACTATTAATTTGAGCAGTTAATTTAATCAAAAAGGTCCTAATAAAAACTAAAGTTTATCGACCGTTTGAATATCAATTTTCACAAAATTTCACATTTCAAAATTCTAGCATTCCAAATATATTAATCGGAATGGTAAAACTAAAGTTATCAATTCAGAACTTTATAAATATCAGTGACAATAGAATTGCAAAAATATCACACAATTCTTATGCCCTAATATACAAACATACATACATTTATGAATTATATACATTTTCGGAGTCCTTTTCATATGAATAAATGATGCTATAATATTTTAGCAATTTATCCAAATTAACACATATTCACAAATTAATTGGCTAAACCTTTTTGGAATGTAAAACTGAAGTTTTCATTCCAGAACAATAATCTCATTGTTTTATAATTCGTTTGTTTTGATATTTACGGTTTATATATATTTCTGGACTTTATATTATAATTGCTTCTTATCAAATTTGTTAATGAATTATTACATAAATTACTATTCCTAAAACATGAAACATGGTGACGTCAGGTAAATGTACTTTATCGAAACATGCTGAAGTCAATGTACTTCACTGAGGTAAAACTGATTTATAAGCAACAAGAAAATTTTATGGAAAAATAATTATTAATATTTTCTAACATATTTTTGCAAATTATTACTAATTCCAATCAATAAAATTAATATGAACTGTAAAAGAAATTTTTGAAAAATTTTGATTTTTGAGGTACTTTCACCTGTTACTATAAATTCTTAGGGGATAAAATTTTTATACACCTGATAAAATTTTTGATTAAAATAATTTTAAGTCAGTTAAAAATGCGTGTAATTAAAAAGCAAAATGAAGGAAAACGAAACGATGCCAAAATTATTTAAGTTTTGCAGAATTTACAGTTACATTCTCAATGATAACATTAACATATCAACATAAAGTGTAAAATTTGATTGATTAAACTTTTTAATGAAACGAGAAAAAAAAAAGGTTTTTGATGCATATATTTATTCATTCAGGTATTATTATCACTTTCTACCTTCATTTCCGCTTTTTTTTTCTTTTTTTACTAATAGTATACTATTATCATTATAATCATTGCATCATTAATGCTTTCAAATTTTGTTCCAAAATAGTTTCACGACAATCCTTGAATACACGTCTAATATTTTCTGTATCTATTGCTGTTGTAAAATGATAAAAAAATGGTCGTCGTCTATCACGTCGACAATTCTCAAATTTATCCACTAGAAAAAACTGAACGTCACGCAAACTATTATGATCACCAGTGAAATCAGCAAAATATTGTCGAATATCCGACTTTGGTACCTTCTCTGCAACATTACTTACTAATGCTATGACAAAATAAATAAATGAAATTAAATAAATAAATAAATAACACTATGTGCTATACTTATCTAATTGCATTCTCAGGGCAGTCAATTAGTCTATCAAAAAATATGAGATTAGAAAAACAAATTTTGAAATAATTAATATTTAACTTACCTTCAAGTAAATCACTTTTGTTCATAAACAATATTATGGAAACATTGGCGAATGATTTATTATTAGCAATTGTTTCAAAAACAGATCGCGATTCAACAACACGATTCGTCCTTCGATCTTCAAGAATTACCTGTAATGCAATAGAATATTAAGCAGAAACTAATTTACTTATAAAAAAAGTGCATCTGGAAAAGTATGTACATAAAATTCTTCTCATAAATTTTAAAATCAACAATCTTCTGCAAAATTTTAATTGTTAAGAGATTGTAATCAGAATACAATATTTTTTTACAAGCAAAAATCAAAATAAAATTACTTGATCATATTCGCATGAAGCAACCATAAATAGTATACTTGTAATACCTTCAAAACACTGGAACCATTTTTGTCGTTGTGATCGTTGTCCACCAACATCAATAAATCTGTAAATTACCAATTAAATTAATTAAAAACAGAATTGAAGGCAAAAAAAAAAAAGTTAACCACATTCTACTGTTATTAATTAATGCCCTGCTCAAATTTATTAAATGTAAAGAAATTATAGCAGTAATATTTTCAAATGTTGTGTTGAAAATAGATATTAATTTCAAACCTATTGATATGTGTAAAACTTAGACAATCTGATTAAATTATAATTTGAACAGAACTAAAACCTAAATTCTCACTACTTAAATTAATACCTAAATGAAATCCGCTGTATTTCAAAAACATGCTCAGTTATTCCTCGTGTAGCTTTTCGACAAAATAATATGTCCCGATTAGTTGGACAGTAATCCGGCATTGATACTCGATTAATATGATCGAAAAAGTATATGCAGGAATCAGACTGAAACAAAAATTTCAAATTAGATTAAACACAAAGAGTTCTAAAAATAAACATCATTTCATTAATACAATTATGTCCATTAATAAGTTTAAATAATTAATATGACACTTTTTATATTGTCATTTGTCAAAATCCTATCTAAAATTTCTTCAAAATGAATTCCATAATTTACACCACTTTAAGATATATTTTAAAATACTAATTTTCATGAACTAAAAGTGAAAAACCATATGCAATAAACTTACAATCTGAAACAGATTCCGTTGTTCATATGTCTGTTTGATTGATGCATCTTCCCAAAATCTCGTATTAACGGAGCTATCTCGGCAAATGTAGACTGATCGATACCTCGCATCATATCTGATATTGTAAACCTAAAAACTATTTAAAACTGAAGGTAATATTTCCAATCATTTTCATTAATTCAAATATTATTTCACCTCATAATAGAATCAACATTCTTCTGCCTTTCAGGATTCTTCCAAGCATACCCCAACTTCTGGCGTGCATCAAGAAGCACTCTCATTGCAGCAATTACATTCTAAAAATTTCAATTTCAGCAGTTGAAGAAATTTTGCTTAAATTCATTTCTCATCATCTATTGAATGTCACATATTAAACAGATATTTTCTCATTTTTATACATTACAATTTATAGATGAGTTTCCAGTTTAATTAACTTAACACAGATAATTTCATTATAGCTAGCCTACTTTAAAGCTTATCAAATTGCCCACCTGATAGATCTGCTGCCGATATGCTCGTATTTCATCAGCAGTAAATTCACCTCGTCCATTTATGATAACCATTTGTTTGATAAATGTTGATTTTCCGGATTCTCCTGAGCCCAACAGTAAAATTTTCACCTGCTTCCCAAATAACAGGATAGTAACACAATTTTGATACGAATTAATTATTGGTATTTTGAAAAGTATGAAAATATTTCCACCAGTAATACATAATAATAATAATGATAATAATAATAACAATAACAATAATAATAATAATAATAATAATAATAATAATAATAATAATAATAATAATGATAATGATAATAATAATAATGATAATAATGATAATAATAATAATAATAATAATAATAATAATAATGATAATAATAATAATAATGATAATAATGATAATAATAATAATAATAATAAAAATAATAAGTAATAGTAATAATAAAAATAATAAAATATAACAATAGTAATAACAATAATAGCAATAATCTACGCTTCCTGATTTAAATTATAAAATAAGGTTGAATCAATAAATAGAATTTTTATCTATCTTGCCAATTTTCATTTCACATTAACTATCCAAAAGTGTTTAATAATCAAACGTATATCGAATCTTAATTGAAATTAACGATTAATTAATTACTTGTCGACGAAGTTGTTTCTTTTCTTTTTGCAGTTGCTTCTCGATGATTCTTGTCTGCTCGTCCACATGCCTTCCACAACATAAAGCAAATGTTGCTGTCATCATACTGTCACACAATGAACAAACTGCAACATTATTAGCATTGCTTATTGTATCATTTGTATTGTCTGATAAAATTTATTAATTATATAAGTAAATAATTAATTAGGTTGAAAATTTCTTTACAATTATAGAAGTAATTAAACAATAGCAATCAATTAGTTCGTCACTTAATCGATTAAAAAAAAAATTATATGCTAATAGATATCAAATAAAAAAATATATGTAGGCTAATTACAGCATATAAGTCATTTTTAGAATAAATTGAATAATAATAGAGAAAATCAAATACTAAATTCCATGCATTTTTAATAAATCAAATTTTCGTCAGTTCCAATTATTAATTGAATTAACAATTTAAACGATTTTGAAAATTTGTTCTTAGGTCATTCATTGAATTGTTTGGAAATTTTTGCAAAATTGTTGAAAGATTTTTTTTCTTTCCTATTATGTAACGTTATAAGTTTCGTAAAACATTCCAATTTCATATAATCATATTTTTAAATTAGCAAAAAACTAAATGATACATTTGAACATTTCTTTAAACTAACTCTTAAAAGATTATAAACCAAGTATTAAACTAACCTATGACCTAAAACAACATTAATTATAACAAAAGTACAGCAATTAATTAAAGCATTCTAAAAATATTTCCACATAATGCTTACTTACGATACATATCATACATTCAAAAGCATTCAAAAAGCAATTTACAAAAAAATCGCTTCAAACAATCATCAGATGCATTATTTGTAATAAAGCTGTTAAAATCTGTTCCGGATATTTTAAAAAGCTCAACTCTAGCAGATCCATTCCAGACATTCTGGAAGTAATTGCTGCAACTTCGTAATATCCTCACAGAAAAGCTAAAAAAAATCCTTCAAGCGACAATTATGTTTATCGCACTGTATACTGTATAAATTTTGATGAAATAATACAAGTAATTACAATTATTTATTCATTATTTATTGCAATATTTATTCATACTTCTATTAAATTTGCTAATTTAATTTGTAAATAAATGAATCATTCAATTTCAGTATTATTTAATGAACACTATCTAACTTTACTGTAAACAATCATTCACTCTTCAACACAAAGAAATATTTCATACCAATTCAAAAAATAAAATTGAAATTGATTTTAATCCTAAAGGTATTAATGCTGTAGTTTAGCTGCAAACATAAAAAAGAAATGAAGAAATGATGACGTTTTTGAAAATCAAAGCTTCATTTTAAGAATCATCATAATTTTGTTTCTTTTTTTTTTTTTTGTTAGTTAAAATGAATGTACTAGTAGAAACTAAATTAAATTTTATATTGCTATTTTTGATACCAAAATATTTTTCATTTTTGCTATAAAAATTTAATATCACACTATATAATTAACTATGTGATATTCAATCTAAATATTTGATTGGGAATATTTTCAAAAAAAAAAATTTTTTAAATTTTATTTTATCTTTTTTTTTTGAAAATAAATATGAAAGAACATGTAATTCAAGGAAGTAGTGCTAAAGAAAGATGCATATGAGAAAAATTGATTTTACTGAAGGGAACATTTTTCTGTTTTCCCTTTCATTTTTCATTTTCCGTTTGTTTTGTTTTGTTTTGTTTTTTGTTTTTTTTTTTTTTTTAATTTTTTAAATTATAGCTTGTTTGAGAAGAATTGAATTTCAACAAACAGTAAGAAAAATATGGAAGAAGAAAAAGAAATAAGTAATCCCAAAATAGTTTCGTCATTCAACAACAAAAAAAAAAAAAAGAATTCTGCAGACTTATATTTCTAAAGTAAATTTTAAGAAAGTAATTTTATCTAAGGAAATATTCGAAAAATAAAAATAAAAGTAAACGACAGTAGTAATGATGATAACATTAATGCTAATTAATCAAATATTAAAAATTTTAATTCAATTTAACTGAATTACTTTGAACTGATAATAGAGGAAAATTATTGCACGTCAAACTGAAATAATTTTATTCCATTACTAATTCAAATTATTTAAAATGGTTCAATTGACGATTACAGTCAAATTTTTAATAATCGTAATCAAATTTCGACAAAATAATAATCTCTTAATTCGAAAAATTAAAAAAAAAAAAAGGAAACTAATTAAATTGAAAAATTGAGGAAATGAAAACAAAACGGGAAATTTGATGCTAATAATTTAGCAGTAACAGAAATAGAGAGAAATTTTTTGAAAAGAATGAAAAGTAAAATGAGAGAGAGGGAAGAGAGGAAGGGAGAGGATGATAGTTAAGATAAAGAAAATTGAAACATCACCATGATTTCAATGTGTTCGGAATGGAAAAAAACAATTGTAGTACTTTTTGTCCGTCTCTCTCTCTCTCTCCCTCCCTCCCTTTCCCGTTCTCGATGACATTTGTGATGATTCATAAATCAAACTGTATTTTGTATTACGATTGAAAACGATAACGAAAAATGAAATGAGAGGATGAAGAGCGGAAAGTGAATTGCAACAAGGCGTAGAGTATCGAATCAAATACATTCAATGAACGGCAGTTATTGACTGAATCAGTCAGTACGTGATGAGAAAATGGAAATTATATAAATATTCACCATACAATTTAACTATGTAGTGAAGATAATTCATTTAAGCGTACGTAACCTTTGTTCCATGCAATTTTATTATACAGTAACAAAGTGGAATTTGTCTAAGTGACCTTTTCTTCATGCAATTTAATTGTATAGTAAAGATAATTTTTTTAGGTATACGTGACCTTTTTTTTCATAATTTTTTTTTTGGTATACGTGACTTTTTTATTATACAGTGATGAAATTTCATTAAGTGTGCATTAAATTATAGTCTTTGTTTAATACACTTTAATTACAAAGTAAAGAAAACTCTTTAAGATTTTTTAACCTTTTTTTAATGTTTACTTGACAATTTTGATTTTATGCTATCATCAATAGTTAATTAAACAAATCATCATCATTTCAATGCTGTTTTTATTTTAAATTTACTCAAAACTATAAGTATAGGATGATTTCACATCTATAATTTCGAATAAATTCATTTTGTCAATCAATTAGCATAATAGTAGCAAGAAAAAAAAATATTGCTCCAGTTTATTATTGTGTTGGATATTTTATTGGAGAAAAATTTCAAAATAAACGAATTTTCACATTTTTTTTTTTTTTGTATACTATACAAAAAAACCACTCTAATATAAAATTCTACATTTCAAATTGAATGATTGTTTAAATAAAGGCATCGTTGAAGAAAAAAACAAAAATGGTAAAAAAAATGTTATTAAATGGATTGGAATTTAAAAGAAAATTAAAAGCTAAATAAATTAAAAGTTAAGAAAACAAAAATTTCGGAAAAAATATGTGATAACAAATCCTTTTTAAAACTTTCTTAACAATTAATTCAATTGTTGTATTAGATGTGCAATCAACTGCTAAACATATGAAAAGAAATATGCGTACAAATAACAGACAAATTGAAAAATTTTTACTCAATTTTTTCGAAATAACATAAAAATTTTCTTATCACTTAGCAAAATTAATATTGGTAAGATTTTGATAACAAAATTGATAAAATTTTATCTATTTTTTAAAAATAGAACAAAAGAAAACGCACGAATTTTTTTTCCCCATTTTTATACAAAATTTTAAAATTCTACGATTTATGTGAAATGTTAAATTCGAAATTCTATTAAATAGAACTGGAAAATTTTATTATCACTATTCTATTCCTATTCTATTCCTATTCTATTAATATTCTATTCCTGTTCTATTCTTATTCTATTCCTATTCCATTCCTATTCTATTCCTATTCTATTCCTATTCTATTCCTGTTCTATTCCTATTCTATTCCTATTCTATTCTGTTCTATTCTATTCCTATTCTATTCCTATTCCATTCCTATTCTATTCCTGTTCTATTCCTGTTCTATTCCTATTCTATTCCTATTCTATTCCTATTCTATTCTATTCTATTCCTATTCTGTTCCTATTCTGTTCCTATTCTATTCCTATTCTATTTTTACTCTATTCTTATTCTATTCCTATTCTATTCCTATTCTATTCCTGTTCTATTCCTATTCTATTCCTATTCTATTCTGTTCTATTCTATTCCTATTCTATTCCTATTCTATTAATATTCTATTCCTGTTCTATTCTTATTCTATTCCTATTCCATTCCTATTCTATTCCTATTCTATTCCTATTCTATTCCTGTTCTATTCCTATTCTATTCCTATTCTATTCTGTTCTATTCTATTCCTATTCTATTCCTATTCCATTCCTATTCTATTCCTGTTCTATTCCTATTCTATCCCTTTTCTATTCCTATTCTATTCCTATTCTATTCCTCTTCTATTCCTATACTATTCCCATTCTATTCTATTTTATTCTGTTCCATTCTAATTCTATTCGTACTCTATTCTAACTCTATTCTATTCTAATTCTATTTTATTCTATTCTCTTCCAATTCTATTCCATTCTAATTCTATTCCATTAAAATTCTATTCTATTCTAATTCTGTTCTATTCCAATTCTATTCTATTCTATTCTAATTCTATTCTATTCTAATTCTATTCTAATCTATTTCTGTTCTATTCTATTCTATTTTAATTCTGTTCCATTCTAATTATGTTCTATTCTATTCTATTCTATTCTATTCCATTCCTATTCTATTCCTATTCTTTTCTATTCTATTTCTATTCTATTCCTATTCTATTCCTATTCTATTCCTATTCTATTCTTATTCTATTCTATTCTGCTCTATTCTATTCTATGCTGTTCTATTCCATTCTGTTGCATTCTATTCTGTTCTATTCTATTCTATTCCTATTCTATTCCTATTATATTCCTGTCATATTCCTATTCTATTCCTATTCCATTCTTATTCTATTCCTATTCTACTCCTGTTCTATTCCTATTCTATTCCTATTCAGTTCCTACTCCATTCCTATTCTATTCCTATTCTATTCCTATTCCATTCCTATTCTATTCCTGTTCTATTCCTATTCTATTCCT